GCGCCACTACCTACAGCCTACTATTACCTAGTGTAAGTCTAAGTCTAAATTAAAGCCTTGAGCTGGACTGTACCTACTCGTTTGGATGACATTTGGCGGGATGAAATCATCGACGACACTGATGACCTTGAACCATAATCGGACGGTAGACCGACCGTCGACAGCCCAGTGACCGCCCGATTTATTGAGGCCGTCAGATTGCTCGATCAGTTATCGAACGACAGATAAATACCCGCCAATTTGAATTCAAATATCGAAGTCGCGTCGGCCGAGACGGCCGGACGCGACTGAGTAAGCTAGGTCTGCAAAGCTTTCGACGGTAACACTAGACTGGGCGTGACCTAGGCCGACACAAGTCTCACTTTCAACAGACTCGACAAGGCAGCTTCCAAGTTGTAGCCTTAGGCAAGAGCGCCGCAGCGGCTAGGTACTTCCAAGCAAGAGCGTCAATAGCATCCGGACGCCACTGGCATGGCGTCAAAGCAAGGGCAAAGACAAGTTGCTGCAGCGTTGAAATTGGTGGCGGGACGGAACAAGCCTGGCCGGGGCCAGCAAGCAAAGAAGCCTCCACAGAAGGCCGCAAATGGGGCTGCTGGCAAGAAAAGGAAGGCCGGTGTTTTGAAAGACAAAGGAGCACAGCAGTACAACTATGATGATGGCCATGGGGATGGTTTTGAAGTGGAGGATGAGGACGACATCCATGAGGTGGATCCAGATGTTGTCAATGGTCGCCTTCCATTTCCAGTTGAACGCCCAAAAATGCAATCGCTGTATCCTGAAGCTGCCGGTCAAGGGACTGACGATGAGGAGGAGGATGAGAAGGACGCCCTTGAAGATCCTAGAGGCCAAGGATCCACGCGGGGGTCCACTGGCACTGGCCTGCAAAGTGGTCAGTCTCATGTCTCCAGAGGTGTGGAAGATGGGGAGGGATTCGGAGAGGAGGAGGACCCTAATCCTCCACGTTCTGGCAGTCATCGGACAAGTGAGCTTGCCAAGTGCTTGTTAGTGAGCTGCATTGTTTGATATTTGAATGTAGGGCAGCTCTGTTTGACTTTGAGCGTTGGGTAGCTTTGATTGCAGG